TAATAACTTTTAATATAAATCAATTTTATACTTAATTAAATATTGTTAATTTTACCTTGATCAGATAAACTTTGAATACAGTCATTTCTATCATTTTCAAGAAAGTACACATTTCCATTAGGTTTAAATATAAAGAGCCATTCACACTATAACAAGTAATTTTAACTTGATGATATTTTGTTATGGGCTGAATATAATATTTGTAATAACATCAATCCCCTACCCTCAATTGCTCCAAACATATTTGATTGAATAACCCTATTAAAAATGCCATATAGAAACACAAAATAAAAATCTATATGGTTCTATCTGGTTCAATATAGGAATTTGAAACAGGCATTGCACTATTGAACCAGATAGAATTCCATACCTGGAAAACCATATAGAAAAGTGATTTCTATATGGATTGCCATATAGGTTCATATTGCTCTATCTGGCCCAATATGGTTTGGGTGTGAAAAAATTATTACCATATAGATCCATATTTAACCATATAGGGAAATCTATATGGTTTAATATGCAATTTTCGTTTAAATATATATACATTTTAAAATGGAATTCCATATTCAACCATATAGGGAAACCTATATGGAAAGACACATAAAACAGAAACCAGATAAATCCATATAAAAATCCCTAAGTTATACATTTTAAAATGAAATTCCATATTAAACCATATAGATTCCAAACTGTAAACCAGGTCGTTCCATATAGGACATATAGAACCATAAAAATCCATATTAGTTTCCTTATCTGGATCAATATGGGTTCTATAGGGCATTTTTAATAGGGAAACTTTAACTTTTATTGGATAAATGAAAAACAATCTATTATAGCATTGTTATTGACTATATCAAAGCGTTTTTTCTGTGTAGGCTTTGATAAAAGCTAATTTCGTCTCGAATTGCGCTTGGAACAGAGTGTCAGATTACAATTAAAGTGAGGTTAGTGGGTCGTAGAGACTGATAAGGAATCTGTCGTTGGCAGAAGTTCTCATCAGTATGAGGTATCCTCCTGCACTAAACACGCTCGCTTGCTGCTTGCTTCACCAGTCTGTACCTAGACAACGCATAATTGCGAGTAATTTAATCTGACAACTTGTAATTGAAGGATCGTGTTAATGCGCTGCTACTACCTGCTCAAAAGTTGATGCCTTACGTACGCGCGTATACCAGTGGCGGAGGATCTAATATCAAAACCATCAAACTCCATAAAAGTAACATTTTCAGAAAAAAAACGCTAATAGTATTTATTTTTAAGGTTACACCGAAAAAATCCAATGGGGTAAGGTCTGGAGATCACGCCAATCCACGTACCTATTGTCCATTCCATTTAAGAATGGAGTAGATGTCGCTACAACGGTTTACACAGGAAACACGGTAAATTTAAATTTAATAATGCCAGTTTTCGCTGATAGAATATTATTATGTTACAACAAATATGGACAAATCATAGCAACCCTAATTGTACTATCCCATGGAAAAATAATTAAGTCGTTTAGACACAAAAAATATATATGTATTGTATTATTTTAGAAAATTAACAATAAATTGAGACACATAACCTTAATTATTCGACTGCATTCCTCATTTAAATGTCAGTGGAATTTTGTATATATACTATACGTATTTTAATGTTTTAACTAATTTTTATAATTTTATAATATAAAAACTCATTTATGAACAAATAGACTGTTTTATTAAAAATGTAAGAAAAAATAAATGGTAAATAAACGGATAAAATCTATATTTTATTTGAGTGTAAGCATACCTACATCCTTGGATTTAAAAAGTTGCATTTTTTCATACATATATATATATATATATATATATACAGCCAGTTCAGAGTAAAACCGAATATATCTATATATATATATATATATATATATATATGGGGCGTGGCCTCGCCTCCCTCCAAGGCGCGTCACAGTAGCTTGTGTGATAAACGACAAGACGAAAGGTCAGGCAGGTAAGACGACTAAAAATTAAATGATAATAATGCAAAAAATCTCATTAGCGATGCAGGTTATTTGCTTAGCTAGTGTGTCGCGCGTTGGAGGGAGGCGAGGCCACGCCCCATATATACAGTGCTTGCAAATCCAAGTCCGACCGGTTTGGGAAGGACGCGTGAAAATAACAAGGATAGAACGCCAAACAGAAGGCGTTTACAATACGCACGCCTGACGCTCTGACCAATCAAATTCTGTTTGGCATTCTATCCTTATTCTTTTCAAGCGGGTATTGAACAACCATCCTTCCCAACGCGGTCGGACTTGGATTTGCAAGCACTGTATATATAGATATATTCGGTTTTTCTCTGAACGGGCTAAATGACCGTTGCATTCTTTTTTTTTTCATGCGATTTCACAAATTTTTATTTGCTCCAAATTAAAAGTATCCCCATGTTGTAAATTTTAGGTTAGAGTTTCCACCGGTAAACAACCGACAAAAAAACATAGCGAGCAATTTATAACTATTTATGTTGTTATTTTATCACTATAAACGGTCATGTTAAAAAAAATACGAAGAACTTTAACTTACTTTTCTATATCAGAATACACGACAGGAACTGTTAATATATCGCTAACTGAACTGCACAAGTAACTTTCGCCATTTGCAATAATAAAATATTATAATTTACACATGCAGTACCATCTAGCGGCAAATAGGCGACCTAAAAGTCCTTGGTCCTACGGTCATGTGAAGAAAACGTCGGACAACGTTCAGTTATTATTTTTAGCCTAAACATTAACTCAAAAAACATTTGTTCAATATCATTTTCTTTGGCTAGGTACTTAAAAGTTGAATTAAATTTTTAGAAGATCGCAAATATTTGATTTTGCTCGTGGGACATAATATGTCATATTATGACGGTCATGTGAAACAGGAGTTTTAAAACCAAAATTAAAAAATAAATTCTTAGGATATTGGACTTTTGGTTTTATAAATCGGTAAAAAATATGCTTGTCTAGTAAAATGTAAAAAAAAAATGATGGCTAATATAAAGGTTTTAGTTTTAATACCCCAGGGACATGGTATCTTAAAAGTTACTGAAAACCACCCAGATACTAAAGTAACATTATTTGTTAAGGAATGTTTAATTTTATTGATCAAGTAAAATTAATTAATATAATATTTATTCATCAATTTATATTTTAACATATATTTAAATTGGGGTTACGTATTGTAACCCATATTAAGAAAGTAAATATCTATTGTAAAATTTGGTAACGTACTGAAAAAAACTTTTCAACTTGGTCATAGAATTTAAATTTTAATACATTAATCGAAGTAGCCATAATAATATTTCATAGAATATTTTTTTAAATTTTAGTTTTATATATTTTTGCCAAATTTAAAGTTGGACTTTTAGCATTTTATCATCAACAGGAACTCTACACCTTTTTTTCCATGCTGCTGATGGAATTTGTTCTATTTTAACTGAATTTTGGTAAAACATTCTTTAGTCAAGTATTTTTTGAAATATCAGTTTCTTTATCAATACGTTTTTACCATATTAAAAAGTATTATTCTTTGACTTTGTTTTTTAGGACCGAGGGTTTAAATTTAAAAATATTTTTCTTTTTTATTAAATGAAATATTTTGTGTCTACAAGAAATCAATTACGGTGCTAGCATGCTGTTCTGAGAGGTGAGTTTTGGACTTTCTGTGAAATCTATTTTTTTTATATTCTTGTTAATTAGGTCATAACTAAAATTTTAAGAGCAAAATAAAAAAAATTTGACGGTTAATTTTGTTTTAATTGGATGTTTATTAAAAATATGTATGCACACTTTCAATTCTCCAATTAAAACTTGCGATTATATTTAAATATTATCATAACTTTTTAAATCAGATTAAAGATTAGTTAATTTCCTAAAAAAGGTCTATACATTTTTTATACCTTTTACTGTTTTGTTGTAATACACGTTTAAAGTTTTAATTTAAGGTTAAATGTATAGTACCTATACCTACATTTATTAAACAATAATTCCAAGGGTGCCACATTTTATTTAGGGCCAATTTATTCTTTTTTGATTTATTTGACGAATAATTTCTTTGGATACTAGATATTGCCAAGACATGAAAGTTATCGGCCCGATAAACTTTACTAAAGATGAATAAACCGGTCCTTAGTTAAATTTCATGAATTTCTTCGTAACTTTTACTACAATTTTTCATTTTTGTTTATAAAAAACACTTAAAAAAACTAAACAAAAATTACAGAATACGTATACTGAAAATAACAATTAAAACGTCAAATAAATTTTTAATAGATCTAAGTTTCATGGCAACCTTTAAGGATATATTAATTAAGGGAACATAAATGTATACGTCAAAGGTTAGATTAAAAGTTTGAACGCTTATTGCAACAAAACAGTAAAATATATAAAAAAAATTGTAAAAAGCTTTTTTTTAGTTATGCAAATATTAAATATTTAAATTAAATCGCTAGTTTTAATTGGATAATTATAATTGAAAGAGTGCATAATATTTTTAATAAACAGCCAATAAAAACAATTCAAACCGTAAAATTTTTTTTTATTTTGCTCTAAAAATTTAAGTTATGACCTAATTAACAAGAATATAAAGAAAAATTAGGTTTCACAGAAAGTCCAAAAATCACCTCTCAGAACAGCACCGTGCAATACAAAACGTGTATTTGGTTTCAGAAAATAAATATTATTGTTTTTGTATTATAATGTTTTTATTTCACCCTTACCTTATTTTAGTTTTTCACCATTCTACCTTGCTATTTTTTTAATTTTAAGTTTGTAAGTTAAAATTAAGTTAATTTAATTAACCTAAAAAATATTGTTGCTACGCAATGTTACCTCAAGCGTAATGATATCTAATGATAACTCTGATATGCATAATGGGTACATTACATTATATTATTGTACATATTAATTAGACATAATATGTTATACAATATACCTAATCCCGAGATTGCAATATCCAAAAAACCCAAAAAGGAGAAAATCATACATCTAAACAACACCCAGATTTTAAGGTTTATAAATAAAAAATAAATACACAATTAAGTAATACCTATTCTACCAAATCGCACACTTCTCTATGGGGTCCATCTTCGCCCCTTTTTTGCACCCCCAATCGAACGAAAACTCCTCCAAGTTCTGCAGAGGTCCATTGACTCTAAACTGCTGAGGCGACTGCTGATAGCTGTCCATATACTTTTGCATGGTGTTTGATGAGTATTTGGAGCAAAGGTGTTGCGCTGAGGATATCCAGAAGAGTTGGTTCGGCGAGTATGCGATGCCGGGTAAGCGGGGTTCCGCACCGTTCTCCCACGCGTAGTTCTGGTAGGTATCGTAGGAAACTTTTGTGCCGGCCAAGTCTGCGAAGTCCTCGTCGCGTGTACGAGAAGAATTAAGCTTAAAATGATTAACATTAATACATTTTAAACTTTGTTTTAATAGGACAAATTTATTCTTCCTTGTTTTCAAAATTGATGAATAAATCAAAATATTTAATAAAACTAAACTATAAAAAAGTTTTTTTAAAACACCCTCTTTATAATAAAATAATCATTATTTTCCCAAATCGACAAACAGTATTTGTATGGGAATGGTCGGTAAATAGCACAATAAAAGACTTAAAACTTAAGGGCTAAACTAAAATTAAATGCAGGTACCTACAACTTAAAAAATATATATGGAATTCAAATTACTGGTTTAAAAATTCAGATAAGTCATATAAACACAGAGATTGCTTTAATTTATTTTTAAGAATATGTAAGTTTTTAGTTTTTTTTATAAAAGTTGTCAATTTATTAAATATTTTTAAACCTAGGTACAAATTTTTGTTATTTCTTATATTAAAATTATGTACATTGCTGACTAGATTAAATTTTGATTTATTTTTAAAAACGAAAACAGACAAAACATACAGACTAGACAAAGTCATAATATTAAAATTACTGAAAATTGGTCTACATGACTCCTGATTTTTAATACCTGCTATAATTCTTAAAAAATAAAATTGTGCAATAAAAACGTTTTTAAAAAAGGTTGAGCTTTCCCAGAAACAAATTCAGTATCTTAGTCTTGATTCAATACGATAAAGAAGTATCGGGTTTTTGCAACGCGCACGCCATCTGGTGGACTTCAAAAGCATTGCGTGAATTTAAGAATTGTCAACAATACATTTAAAGCATACGAACTGTACCTACATCATTTTTAAATAAATAAGAAGGTTTTTCACAAAAGAGAGGAAGGCATAATTTTGTTCAATTGTACAGCTTAATCGCGCACGTTATTTGTGTTTTACGTTGCAAGGAAAAAATTAAAAAACTTTTTTAGTACTCGATTTCGATTGATTATTCCTTATATCATTGATTAAAAAACTCAACGCTTAAATGCTTATATAGTTACGTTAGTGTGTGTATTTTATCTAAGGGATCATGGTGAATTATTGTGTTTTTAATTGTAAATAAAATTCAAGAACTAAATCGTTGCATTTTCATGTTTTGCCAAAGGATCCAATTCAGTAAGTACATTTGTTGGTGCAGAATTAACTAATGATAACTTTACCTAATATAATTTATATTTAAGCTTGGACTTTTTAAAGAAATTAGTAAAGAGTAATTTTTGCACAAACATAACCTTAAAATAAACCAATTTTATGTTTGAGTTCTCTAAAAAAAAACGCCGACAACTGCATTTTAAACAACAAAATATACCTACGAATTCATGGCAACATAATATTATATACATAATATAATGGTATTTTACCGTTGAGTGGAGACTTTCTTAAACAACGTCATGTTTTGCCAAAGGATCCAATTCAGTAAGTACATTTGTTGGTGCAGAATTAACTAATGATAACTTTACCTAATATAATTTATATTTAAGGTTGGACTTTTTAAAGAAATTAGTAAAGAGTAATTTTTGCACAAACATAACCTTAAAATAAACCAATTTTATGTTCTCTAAAAAAACGCCGACAACTGCATTTTAAACAACAAAATATACCTAAGAATTCATGGCAACATAATATTATATACATGTATATAATATTATGTTGCCATGAATTCTTAGGTATATTATATTATATATATATATATATATATATATATTATATTATGCATAATATAATGGTATTTTACCGTTGAGTGGAGACTTTCTTAAACAACGCTTTTAATAATGCTAAATGCTGTTTAAATTTAGATGACTTCGGTATTTATTTAAAGATTTTTACTGAATTGAAACACTTTTCACGTTAATCACTACTAAAATGTGTATTTATTGTATCTAATAGGTACAATTTATATATAAATTGTACCTATTAGATACAATAAATACACATTTTAGTAAATATATTTACAGAGAATGTATGCAATTTAGTTTTTCATTCAGATTAACACTGTTTATTGGAAAACCGGTAAAAACTCAACCCAGGATTTTCTCTCGAAATACACCCAACAACACAACAAATCGAGCCAAGGTTTTTTTTTCGATGTTTTTTAACATTTTCCGGCTTTATTCTCAAAAACACTCGTTTGTACTCTCTAAAAATGAATTAGTCAAAAATGACTAATTTAATAATTGGTAGTGGCTGCTTTTTCACTTGTACCATGGTTAACCATGAAATACCCTGGTATCCCAAAATTTAACAGCCAATTATTATGTAAAATAGTCCCCTGAATCCGAAAATACCGTCAAAAATTATAAAAGTGGAGCAGTTTTTGAGATATAGTCAATTCCATATTAAATGGTGATTATTAAAAGTGGTACTTTTGTTACGATGATAACAGCCGAGTGGTGGCGCTACTAGCGATACTTCTTTAGCGTATATTTTTTCGAATTACTAGAAAATGGTATTTTTATTAAAAAATATATAATTCCGAAACGACGAATTTAGCCAACTCAGGACTTCTGGTAAAAGTTGTTCATATTATCCACTTCAAACGAAAAAGTAAAAATAAAATGTCAAAATTTTGACCTTAATGTGTTTGGTCTTTTTTAGAAAAAAACAATTAAAAAAAATTGAGTAGACTCATGGAAGTTATTTTCTGCATTTAATTTAAAAAAACTAAAAAGTGTTTTGATTATTGTGGAACAATTTGTTTGTTTATGATTATTTGGTTTTTACAGATCTTTCCAATGGCGTATCAAAAAAAGAGTGATGCCATTTAAAAAGAAATAAGTTGGAGTGGCTACCCCCCACAAATTTTAGAAACGTTTTTGAAAAATTTTTGATATCTTTTTTAGGTCCAGACTAAACAGACACCCTGTATACAGGTATACAGGTGAGTGATTTAATTTGAAACTTTGAAATATCTTAGTATACATTTTACGACTAAGAATAGGTAGATTTTGTCTAAAACACTTTTTCATATTTGTAATAGATTTCACTGTAATAAAAAAAATCAATTTTGTTTGATTTTTCTTCTGTATACGATTCTCCAATAATTTTTGAATAAAATACTTGCTTTTATTTTTTAAATTTATTTAATTTTTAAATTTTAATTAAAGAAGGTGCTCAAAATGGTGTCCTTCCACAATGCATTTATTAATTCCCATTTCGTTTTAATATTCAACACTGGTCTGGGATATTCCCAAATCTCTAGATAATTCTCGTGTGCTTGCATGAGGATTAGCAGCCGTTGCTGCCAATACATTAGTTTTATTATTTCCACCTGTGACTGTTGCTAGACGAACCCTTTTTTTCGGTTGAACACTCCCGTTTGTAGTAAACTGCTTGACTGTACGGTGAAATGAAGTACGTGATCGAATTTTATCCGGAAAACGCTGAGCGTAGATATTAACAGCATCATCAAGATTTCTGCCTGCTTCTCCATAAATCAAAATCATTTCTATTTTATTCTTCCACTGTTAAAAAATCCATTATGAATAACTGCTTAACGAAAGGAGGTCTTTTTGTTTGCAAATTAATCTTCGAACTAAATTGATTAAATAATGCTAAATTATAAATAGTTTCTTTATACCTCAATAATAATTATTATTTTTATTTATAATTTTTTTATATCCCAATTAGGATTAAATTAATTAATTTACAAAATAATGTTTTTTTTTTACGTTAAATAAGGTATTACAGCGCCGTATATTACATATAAGAAAAAATGTTTTAGTCAAAATCTACCTATTTTTAGTCGAATGATCTGCAATAAAAAATAAACATTTTTCGTAAAATGCATACTAACTGAGATATACACTGAAAAAAAATATTCTTGATTCAAAACAATCTTTGTCTCATATATAACGAAGAGAATATATTCTTTAAAATAGTAAGTATTTTCTTAATTCACGTTGATTTACTTCAAGAATCTTTTCTTAATGTTCTTACATGTTTTTACATTAAGAAAATATTCTTGAAGTAAATCAACGTGAATTAAGAAAATACTTTACTATTTTAAAGAATATATTCTCTTCGTTATATATGAGAAAAAGATTGTTTTGAATCAAGAATATTTTTTTTCAGTGTATGTATAAGTATCAGGCCGTATTTCCAGCTGACAATTTTTAAGAAAAACCATTAATAAATTTACTGGAGGTATGCAATCTAAAATAAAACGTCTCCTTTTAAAATCTGTCGAGAATCCCATCGAAATCCAAATTGATTTCGTTACATCAATGACAAACAGTATTCAAAGTGTTGCCTAGTCTGCGGTGTTTTGCATACCATGGGTCCGCTTTAATTGAAGAAAAGTGGAAATTCAAGCGGGTTTTTGAGGCGAACCTCAAACCAGTAAAATTTCAAGAGGATCGATAAGACCAAACCGATACTCGATTTAACACAAAAAATCAAATAAAGATAAAGTTCTTTAATTAATGAGTGTATAGAAAAGATTATAAACGAGGTGCATACTATACTTTTTCTACGACAAATACTTATTATTATCTTAAAAGGATTTAAATCAAAAATTTGTATAGAGCGCCATCTATGAAACAACAGGGGAAACTGTCAAATGTCACATTTTTACATTTTATAAACACAATTATAAAGGTTATAAATCGAAATGTGTATTGAAAATTGACAGTTTTTCACAGTGAAAGTAAAGGAAATGTTTTATGAGGACTTTAGAGTAGAGTCAGAGAACGAATTTAAGTTATAATTTACTGCCGGCGAAATTAAAAGGTCAGTACAATGTTCATTTAAACTTTTCAAATATTGGCGTTGAGAAACTATTTAATATTTTTGTATTTTTTGTATTGAGATTATAAAATAATTTTCACATTTAGTATTATTTTACAATTATTTTAACGATTGTATGACATTTGACAACTGTCAACTAACTTAAAACTAACTTCAGCCCGTGACTAAAAACCTGTTGCTAACTTCAGCCCGCGACTAAAGCGGTCATCATTTTATCATGTCTTTAATGAGAAGACTATAAATATTCTCTTCATTTTAACTTGCCATTTTATTGCTTTTCGCTATTTTAACTTATCGTCATTTTTGATTTTCAATCTCTTTGCTAATCATCATTATACATTCTTGTCATTTTAGGTCATTATCCACCTTCCTTGTACTTATTATTATTTTAGCTTAATATAGCATTAGCTTGTCTACATATTTTAACATGTCCTTATTATAGATATAGCTATTTTTTGTCATCATATTAGCTTGTTGTCATTTAAGCTTGTCATGGTTATTATTTTAGCAGGTTACCATTAAAGCTTTTTAAAGCTTGTAATTATAAAAAAAAACAATATTTGCTTATCATCATTATTTTAGCTTGTGATAATAAAAATTAATACTAATATAATACTATGAAGTAATGTTTGTTCTAAATAATCCTGTTTGGTATTTACAAAGCATTCGAAGGTATTGTGACGCAAACGATTCTTTAAAAGTGTTTACCGACTCTTGGGAAATTTAGCTTGACACTTACCTTAGGTAATACGGGCACTTATTTCGGAATATCTCGTGAAAAGTGATCTTTTGACTTTGAACATTATCTGAGGAAAAAGTGCCATTACGGGGCAATACAAAGGCGGCCTCACAGCCCGTTGAACTCTTAAAAAATGCATTAAGAGGTAAGGATGATATGAATATAAAAGCCATTAGATTTATTGCTCTCCAGCTATTTTTCAATAACTCCTTATGTGAATTGTAATTTGGATAAACGAGTTTTTATTTCAAAGCTTTTGTAAATCTTTCATATGAATGTTTATAAATAATATTTCATTGATCTTAAAAAAAAATACTTAGATCAAAGAGGACGTTTTTTTGTATAATTACATTCTTTGTTATAAATAAACTAAGGATGAATAAAGATATCATACGAGGCCTGTCAGAGCAAAGTCAACAATCTCCCATCAGACTAAAACTGAGTAAATTGAGATAATTGATTTTGGTATTTTAAATTCTAGATTTGTAATTTTTTTATATATTATATTGAAATATTGTTGTTGTTGGTCTAGTAGCCAACTACAAGGTCTCCAGGATGCATAGTATAGGTGAAATCTATAATTATAAATTGGAGATTGCTGACTTTGATATGAATTGCTGGAGATTGCTCATTTTGTTGTAAACGTTTAAGGAGATTTAGAAAAATAAACAAAAAAATAATTTATTTTTATTCCTTTAATGGGTATAAAATTTAACTATACAATCAATGTGGGAAAATTCTGAACTGGACCACATAAATCTGGAGTTTCTTCTAAATCTGGGAGCAGGTTGCCTCGTGCAAAAAAGTTTTTATAGTACAACAACTCATCATCTTCTTCCCACTTTGCCCCGTAACGTTTTACTTGCAATGTTTTGACATTATCAGCCTTTTCTTGCTTTACCTTTACGTCTTATTATGGTATAATAGCACAAAATAAACAAGATAACTTTTTTATAATTCTTAAAACAATAAAACTTATACATACCTATTTTAAATATATTTTTAAGTGCCACTTACTGCAATAGAACTTAACAGTATGACCAGTAAAAAAACACAAAATTAAATCTTTAAAATACGTTATAACATCAAATGTTAGGATGTCAGGTGACACAAATTACTAATTTCTAATGGTGGAATTGGAGATTGTATACTCTGCTGCAAATCTATCAGTGGAGATTGTCGACTTTGCACTAAATGTCATTTTTAAAATGGGATTTTAGGCAGGATTTAGCTCCTTTTGCAGCACATAAACTTTATCATCTTATAGATAATTAGTTGAAGTACAGTCTCCGCCAAAAATCTAATTTTTGAACAAAACTGGAGATTATCGGTATTGCTATGACAGGCCTCATACGTTATGAGTTTAAACTATACAATACAATTATAAATATAAATATCTTTTTCGTAATGATTAGGGGTAATGTAAATTTTCTATTTAATTGTTTTTATGTTATTAATGCCAATATGAATTATTTGTTTAACATAATTAATTGCGTTCATTTAATTTAAATTGTAAATGGTATAGTTTTCATATTTGTGCTATTCGTTTAATTATAATGGGCCCTTTATCAGGCGGAAAATGTAATTAACAATAAATAATTTTATTAATTTTCGTCATTATTAGATATTTAATTAATTTTTGTGCCGAGTACTTTCTTTCGTTAGTAATAGAATACGTAAACATTGTTTTAAGTTCTTGGACTTTTATTGCCTTGGAGAAAATAAATAACTTTGTCCACCAAATTAAGGTGGTTATTGGAATATTATTTATTTAAAATTTATATATGCTTTTAAAGATTTGAGTTTTTTTCTTATAAATATATAAAAAGAATAGTTTGTTTATTTAAACTTTATTTACGTTTACTTAAAAATAAGAATATTTGAATTTTTAATAATAGTTTAAAAAAAACATGCAAAAAAGTATAGTAATTGGACATTTTATATAGTAATTGGACACATGGAACATACTTATTGGTCATACAATTTTTATAAACATAACAACTTTACATCAAATAACATAAATTGTTAAATATTTTTTAAAGATAAATTGCTGTTTTAAGTACATTTTTTTATTTCGTTTTAGAAATATCATATAATTCATATTATTTCTTTCTAGGATTCCTCATCTCGTTTTGCATCGTTTTTGTAAGTATCATATAATTTATCTATTTCTTTCTCGGATTCCTCATTCAGTTCTGCATCAGTAAATTCTTCACTTCCATTATAGTTATTATTATCATTGCTCTCTTTGTAACATGATGACATAAAAATATATCATCTTCCAATTCTTCCGGTATATGTTCTTGATGTTTTTTAGGAATGCACTACTTATGATTTTTTTTAAATGCAGTACAATGTTAACCTTTACTTTTAATTGCTTAAGTGACCACTGGTAGGTTTGTTTTCTTTTTGTTTGCATTTTTTAACTATATCCTGCTTTTTTAATTCGCCTTTTCTTTATATCATTTTCTTTATATCATTGATTAAGAAACTCAACGCTTAAATGCTTATGTGTATATGTGTATGTGTGTATTTTATCTAAGGGATCATGGTGAATTATTGTGTTTTTAATTGTAAATAAAATTCAAGAACTAAATCGTTGCATTTTCATGTTTTGCCAAAGAATCAAATTCGGTAAGTACATTTGTTGGTGCAGAATTAACAAATGATAACTTTACCTAATATAATTTATATTTAAGTTTGGACCTTTTTAAGAAATTATAAAAAATAATTTTTGCACAACCATAACCTTAAAATCAACCATTTTTATATTTGAGTTCTCTAAAAAAACGCCGACAACTGTATTTTTAACAACAAAATATACCTACGAATTCATGGCAACATAATATTATATATAATACATAATATAATTGTATTTTACCGACTTTCTTAATCAACGCTTTTAATAATTAGGGAGCTGGTGGCAATTTCGGTATATGATTTGCTCGTCGTTGGGAATGATATGTTATAGAGTTTTGATGCTTGTGAACTGAGTAAATAAGGTGGCAGGCTCAGGTATCGCTGCTTTTTTTAATTTTTAAAATTGTAAAAAATAAAACCTAACCTAAGTCATTTGCTCGTGTCTGGCATTTAGGTTTTATATTATATTGACCATATTGATACTAAAATAACATTTGCCAAACGTCTAGGACGCAGCGTTTTTTTTTAAATAATTTTAAATATGTAAAAAACAAATGCTCTATTAAGTGATTTGCTTGTCTTTATCTTATTTTTTAATCCCTAAAAAAAATAATGCCAGACATGTATGTCTCTGCTTTTTGCAGCAAATAATTTTTAAAATTGTAAAAAATAATACCTAGCCTAAGTCATTTTCCTCGTGTCTGCCATTTAGGTTTTATGTTAAATTGGCTATATAGATACTAAAAAAACATTTTGAGGAGTATAGGAAAAAACGTGCAAAGTCAAAAAACTTAAATTTTTAGAAGAGCAATTTTAAACTTGAATACTGTGTAATCTCTGGGTCCTTTTAAAAAACTAACTGCTTTTAGAAACTCTATTAAAACAACATTATGGTTAACAGTAATGTTAAGTGTAAAAAAAAAATACCATTATCTTTGCTTTTTTAGCTACCATACCAAAAAATATCCAAATTGACTTTGCACGTTTTTTCCCTGCAGTCTTCAATTGTTAAATATTAATTTGTGTTATGTTATTAAACAAATTTGGCTATGTTCTGCCCGAACAGTTCGGGTGCAAACTTGATATAAAATTTACAGGGACTGTATGAAATTTATTTCTTTATTCTGATTAAAACTGTTTATTGGAAGAACGATAAAAAGTTAGATTTTGTTAATATTTTAGGTTTATTAAAAATAAAAAAATATATATATAAAAACACTTACATGCTTGTTAACCTCGGGCACGATGAACTCTGCATAGTGTCCTGCCAGGCACTGCAGCTTCTCTTCGTAGTTGAGCAGGCTGGTGCTGGACCAAGAGCTTCTCAATTCGGCGTGCGAGCTGCCGTACTCGGCCTCGATTAGTATGTGCGAGATCTCGTGGGCCACGATCGAGCCCAGCACGCCGTAGTTCATGTATTGCGGCCGGTCCTTAGCGTAGTACACGCCGCGGAATATGCCGATGGGAAATCCTGCAAAACCAAACTCGACGCTTTTATCCATAATTAATCCCTCCTTACCTGCTGCCTGCAGCAGCTAGCAGCTCCACTCGAGGTTTACAATTACTTTAGGTTATGTTGCAGATTGAATTTGATGTGGTGGGTGGTTTAATTGCACAATAAAAACTGATCGATGGCATACTTTAATGTTATGGGTGAAATGATGGCTTAATGGGGTAATTAAATTTTTTCTGAACTATACTTTTTATGGTTTTATTCAAGGCGTTTTGTAATTTTAAATATTTCTGTGAAATCGGAATTTCAATTGAGTTTACCGTTGTCGAGATATTTACAAAAAAAAATCTCCTAATAACGTCACTAGGCTATTGACAATGTTGCCAGCTTTTTCTATGGTTACCAGTGTGTTTAGTTTAAGATTCTTACGATAGATGGCGCCACGTTATAATATTTTAGTTTTAAAACCACTTGATCTATAATTTTAGTTGAGAAGAAGAAGAAGAATTGATTTTTTGACGTTTCTTTTTTTCGGGTTATGTTTTTTTTTAAATGTAGATTATTGAAAATCAATGTTATTGTTATGTTATTTGTAATTGATATTAGATAAGTGATTTATTAATAACGGACTCCAAAGCAGAGGAATCTTGGTTACATTGAACATTGGAGCTTTTAAACAAATAAAGTAAGTAGCTATAATTATAATCATATTTTGTCGTAAATGCATTTCATTAGTATAATGCCTAGTTCTTTATATTCTTTTAGATATATCTTGGACTCTAAAATATCAAACAGTAATATGATACCTCGTAATAAGGAAGATAGGTACTTAATGAATTTGGTGACCATCTTTCACTCAACTGACAGTGGCAGTATTTGTACATAACCTCTTCGGGTATTTTCTGACATAACCGAATGAAATCGTTAACAAGACAACTTGACAACAGGGTAATTTTCAACCAATAGAAATCTTAGAATGTTGGTCACATGGCGAGGTTTGTGACGTCATAAAAATTTATATTTTTTGTAAATATCTCTAAAACGGTAAACTCAATTGAAATTCTGATTTCACAGAAATGTTTAATATTACAAAACGCCTTGAATAAAACCATAAAAAGTATAGGTCAGAAAAAATTTTACTACCCCATTATTGCACTAGTTTACAAAACTTGACAAGGTGTTTCCTTGTTCAACCAGAACAGGCAAAGGCAGACGGTCTTTGTACCTAATAGCAAAAGCAAACTTTTATACTTATTTAAAATCGGTTAGTTAGGTACCTACTTTGTTATCAATGAGAGCGAAATTGACACATTAAAACAACTCCAACTTTTTTTTCTCTAGGACTTCTAGGATTTAAAATAATTTCGTAATAAAATGCTCTGCTCAATCACCTCAAAATGTAAGTTTTTTGTTGGTATTTTAATTATTTATTGAATTATTTTGGCTTAAATTCATCTTGAATGTACTAAATAAATTGGTATACGGGAAATAGATCATATTTATCTTAACAATATGACGTTTTAAATTCTAAACCAAAATTTTAATTTATTTTATGAAAAAAAACAACCATTATTTGACATTTTTTGTCGTTTATTTTAATTATTAAATTGAAAGGGCAACAAAGTAAACAAGTTTCAGTATTTTTTATCCAAATTAAGCCCTCAAAATTTAATGCATTGCATAATTTTGCTTTTTTCTACCTTAAATTTATTAAATTGTATCAAATTTGATTATAGTATTATTGTGCTTAATCCTCATTATCGTCGTACATCTTTTGCTACAAATTCCAGCAAATGTCTCCTAGCAATGAATCCAACTTCTTTCCGCTATACCCATAGATATCTACCAATGCTCTAAATTTGCAGTTTCTTGGTTAAATCGTTCATCGTTCATGTTCATCAGTTCGCCAAATTTATCAGGATGAAAAAAAAAATAATGTATTTTAAATGACATATTAATGCTAATTCTTTGCAAAACGGAAAGCATTTTTTCAATGAATTTGCGCCAATTTTAGGCCCAATATGAACCAAGAACATTTTCAATGACAGCTTTAACACTGCCATATGCGACAAGCTCGTCAACTTTGAGAGCATTTTTGAATGCTTGATCTTTCATTAAATGTCGTATATCAGGTCCATTTAATATTTCTGCAAAATTAAAGTAGTAGGTATATCTCATAAAATTTTGTAATGAAATATTGCGTTCGTTTTCCTTGGGCGTAAAGGTACCGCAACAAAAACAAAACAAATTTACAACGCCGACATAAATGTTCGTCTCCTTTCTCTTTCTCTGCCACTTCCATTTCCTGCTCTTTTTTCATTTTTGGTTCATAAAATCACTTTAAAGTAAAAATACAATTTAAAGTTTAAATTCGATATTAAATTTTGTTAAGACTTAATAAATAAGATTCGAGCTAAATTTTAGGGTACTTTAGGTATGATGTGAATAAAAACATATCAAATAATAGTCGAAGAGTAATGCTTATAATGAAACCTATTTACTTTGTTGCCTTTTCGATTTAATTAGTAATTAAAAAAACGACACAAAAATTTAAAAAATTGATACTTTTACCAAAAAAATATTATAATTTTAGTTTGGGTATTTAAAATTTGGTATTAAATATCCCTCATAAAATACTACTATAGTATATATAAGGCTACAATGAAACAAACAAAATTTCTATTTCCCGGCACTGATGAGTTCTCAAAGAATGAAACAGAGTCTGTCGGTGCCTGTTCGTGGAGACACACTTGAAACAAAAGAGCAGTGAGAAGGTTTATGGTCAGTTCTTAAGAAAGACGTTCTGGTTGAACAAGGAAATTCTTGTAAACTAGTGAAAACAGTTGCTCACACGTGTGGCAAATTTCAATATTGTTGTCTTAACAGAATGGTTTATTTTGTTGGATATTGATTTTATGTAGAGTATACAGGGTGTTTCACGTTCGTCGTCCATTGGAAGTTTCTGGAAAATGGCAAAAGATATCAATTTGAAATTCTTTAAAAAAATTTAATAAATTACCCAAGAAAACCCAGGGAAAATTAGGCTAACTTGAAACGTTAATATCTTTTTTATTTTAATGTTTTTAGATTCTAAAGTAAAATAACTTTAAGGGCAAAACTTTATTTCGAAGTTATGCCAAATGCCTCAATGTCAGAAGATAATGTATATGGACATTTTTGAAGTAGAAAAGTAACGTTTTTGGTTTTACAAATATTAAATCACACATTATTTTCAGCTAAGCAGATCAAAATTTTTGAAATTTTAAAAAATAAGGGGGAAATAAAAAAACAAAAAATAAAAATTATTTGCTGTTAGGTTCAACCTTTTTGTGAAAAATCTAGTAGTTAATTTTCCTGCCTTTGAAAATAGCATCCATTTGGTTTGAAAAAGATAAGCAATAATCACGAAACATTTTCTTCTTTCAATTTGCAAGTTAATGATCATTAATAGTCCTGGATAATATATACATTATAATTATTATTAAGCCACTACAAGTATTAACGTCCAGTGGCTTTAACAAAATACCCATTCACCATTGGACCAATGATTGGACAACATTAAAGTGTGTTCACATAAAATTTTAATTTCTTTTATATAAATTCTTTTCAAAGCGAATATTATTATCCGCTAGGAATACTTTGTCGCTCCTGGGCCGTAGTCACCTATATTTAACTACTTTTTATATGACCAAACTAATTTTGGTTTCGTATTTACCAACGAAACTCCCAAACGCTTTAAAAATGTGAAACACTCTGTATTCTTGGGGATGTTTAATTACAGAAAAATTACTTAAATTGGATTGGATACTTAAAATTATTATTTCTTTTTATAAAATATAATATCACTTACTGAGAATATTTTCCTTCGGCGAGAAAACGATGTTGAGTCCGGTTACGAATCCACTCTGTCTAAGTCTGTTATCTTTTACTCTTTTTCTGAATTTTCCAAACTTAACGTTAAGATTAATGTAATCCAAGTCTAATGCTGACTTAAGAAACTCATTTTCATTTATTATCAGCTAAAAATATTGAAAAAATATTGCTTTAAAGTAAATTTTAATTCGTTCCCAAATAAATCTCCCTTTAGTTAAGAAAAAGCCTTTGCAAACATTGGAAACTTTCAATAAGTTTAAAATTAAGAAATATATTTCCTTAACCTTTTAATTAATAGTATATCATGCATCAAGTTTGATAAACGGTATTTTAGTCACGAATTTAATTTAGGCACGAGCTTGCATGTTTGGTAGGTTAAAACATGAATAAAATTTATGAAGAAAATTAAAAAAAAGTGTAAGAATAGTAGATTGTTCTACAAGTAAATAAAAGTGAGAACTTTTCTTACGAGTTGATCATGCTATTTTTTTGTATCCTTAATGGAAAAAGTTAAAACTTGGGAATATTTTAACAAAAATTGTTTTTTTACAATCTTTAACATAGTTGTTTATGAAAAGTAAACCGTAGCAACGCATGACAAAAATAAAATAAAAACGGAATTTTGTCGGAAGATAAGTGTTTTTGAAAAAAATAAAGGTATTTTGAAAGCCGCGAGAGAAGCGACTCAAAATCTGCTTCCATCTAAGTCAAAAGAAAAATATGATAAAAATTTTGAACAATTCTGTCAATGGAGAAACAATCAAGGAGTACAATGTGTCAGTGAAAATGTTATGCTAGTGTTTTTTGGGAAAGCTAAGAAGCTAATGCTTTTAAAAAATAGTTTTTTTTAATTTTTTCTTGTATTTTTAGTCCACAAATCTGAAGGCATCGTCACTGTGGTCAACATATTCGATGCTAAAGAGTACCTTGCAAATATAGAAGGCAGTGACATTTCAAAATACAAGCAATTAATTGCATTTTTGAAAAAACCGAATGAAGGATATGAACCTAAAAAGTCAATTGAACAAATTATGAAGTTTCTAAATGACTTCGAATGAATCGTATCTATTTATGAAAGTGGCATTAATTTTTGTTTAAATGGAGCAATTCCAGGGGAAGAATTACGAACACTAACAATTAACGATATAGAAGAGAATGAATCAGTTGTTATCGTAACACTACGTAATACAAAAACGAAAAAGAAGCGAGCTTTTACCATAACTTCGGAAGCGAACGGAATTGAGTTGTATCGGAAGTATCGTAAATAAAGGTCACAAAACACGAATCATTCCAGATTTTTCGTTTGTTACCGGAATGGTAAATGCACTGTGCAACCGGTGGGGATCAAAACATTTTATAGTTTGCCGAGAAAAATTGCTGAATATTTGAAGCTTCCTGATTCCAATAGCTACACAGGGCATTGTATGCGAAGGAGTGCAGCTACCATGTTGGTTGATAATGGGGGCAGTATCCCTGATTTGAAAAGACTGGGGGGATGGTCTTCAACATCTTCTGCTGAGGGTTATATAGGAGAAAGCATTCAAAATAAAATTGAAACATCGAAGAAAATTTTTAGAGGCTCCAATCAACAGGAAGCTTCAAAGGATGACTCTTGGCTCTTGTTGCTAACGAGTCAAATGTTATTAAAGTGTTGCTAATTAGTAAAATAAAACATTTCTTTATTGAATTCTAGCTAATCAAATGGCTGTTTTCTATTAAGGATTTAAAAATATACTTTACCTCATCGTAAACTTTTTGTTGTTCGATAGATTCCACCATATCCTTGTAGGAAACGATTTCCTCGACGCTGGTTAGCAGTTTTTCCATCGCCATTTTTTTGGTGCGTTCGTCGAGCCATTCTAATTTGGCCAGATTATGTTTGAACTGAATTTTGATGTTCCTTATTACATCCATCACGCGGATTCTGGTGTCATCGTCGAAGTATTGCTCTACATATGCTGCAGACACAACCGAATCCAGTCTAAATGACAACAAACAATGAACAGTATTAAATGAAATCCTTTAAAACCATCCCAGGAAGTGTTTTTTAAAATTTGCGCAAGTTACTTTGAATCGAATGGCATAACCAATTAAAGCAAGGAATTCTCCACAGCACACTGGATGATATAGAGAATGCATGATTGCAAGACTTTTCCAGTGAGTTTCAAAAGGGTATTTTCATCCCAAATCGACCAGGCAAAAAAAGATAGGTAAAATTTAAATTGTATTTTTGCATTTGTTAAGTTAAAAGTTGTAAGAAGTATACGAAATCTAATTTTGGATAAAATAATAAAAAGTAATTATGAACACCTAAAAGTAATAAATGGAATGAACAAGAAACTTAAAAACGCGATTTCGAAGAAATATAGAACAGAAATGTTAACAGATATCAGTGTGGCAGTTGCAAAACTCTTTTTGACTCAGGCTTTATCAGAAATGGAAATAGGTATTAAGTAAAATGTTAATATTCATCAGCAAAACAAACTAACGAACTGTCAAATCTGATAGGATAAAGTAGACAGTTATCGGACACTTTATAGTCATTGGACAATTAACATTAATACTGTAAAAACAAGAGTTCTATAAATAGTTACCTTAAAGTCAAATCATTAGATGACGCTGTGTACAATTATAAATATCTTAGTCGTTAATAATACAGAACTACTTTATTTTGGGTCCAATATAGGACAAAAAAGTTCGCATGTTACTTTGTTGGTAAGATTTTGTTTTTTGTTAGTGTGTGGTATAAATGCGTTCCTCATGGTTTCAACATTGTCACTTTAATGCGTTTTAATTTTAATTCTGAAAACAAACAGTAAAATGCCAGTGTCCAATTACTGGTTGGTAAAAAATGTAAATCTCTATTATTGGACATAATATGTCCAATATCATACTCTATTTATATCCCGGGCATTTACCAGCCAATTCTTATGTAAAATTGTCCCCCAAAAAGACCTTCAGTTTTTTAGATAAAGTCAATTCCATATTATATGCAAAATTGATTTATTTCAAAAACTGTTCTACTTTTATAAGTTTTGACGGCATTTTCGGATTCAGCGAATAATATTTCATAGGAATTGACTGCTAAATGTCCTGGATACAAATTGCTGTTGATGAGAATTATTAGTGGCCGCTTTTTCGCTATGACATTTTTGACTAATTCATTTTTACAGAGTAAGAATTATAGTGATTTCTTCGTCCCAGGACATCTTGCAGAATAACAGTGATTTAAAAACAGTGCATGATAGAGAACACAAAAAACTAATGACAACAAAATTAATAAATTTGGAAAATATTTTTAACATACCATTAGATTTATATACATCATCCTGTTCCGGCCTAAACCTTATAAATGCTTCAAAAACTAGAGATACCACACAATGATATTTGCAACAAACTATTTCAGAAGTCAGACCAAGGAATTAGTAGTTACCTTTAGAATCCAGAAAAGGCATAAGGAATCCGAGAAAGAAATATATGAATTATATGATATTTACAAAAACGAAATAAAAAATTACCTAAAACAGCAATTTATCTTTAAAAAATATTTAACAATTTATGTTATTTTATGTAAAGTTGTTGTGTTTATATAAGAATTGTATGTCCAATAACTATATTCTCTTGGCATGTTTTTATAAAAATATTATAAAAAATTCAAATAAGCTTGTTTTTATAAAACTATTATTAAAAATTAAAATAAGCTTATTTTTAAGTAAATAAAGTTTAAAAAACAAACTGTCCTTTTTATATACATATCGTCGTTTATCTGACAAAGAGGCGTAACTCAAAAAAAATCGTTTTTGAGTTATACCAGAATGATCACCAAAATCGACTTTATAATCTCACAAACTGGCGTAGCTCTATAATAAATAGGTACAAATAAAGTTTTAGCATAAATCAGTTTCGGCGTAATTAATATTTTTGCATTTTGTGTGCCGTACAAACTGGCGTAATTCAATTCACACCGTTTTGTTTAAAAATGAGATACGCCTCTTTGTCAGATAAACGACGATATATAAAAAGGACAGTTTGTTTTTTAAACTTTATTTACTTAAAAATAAGCTTATTTTAATTTTTAATAATAGTTTTATAAAAACAAGCTTATTTGAATTTTTTATAATATTTTTATAAAAACATGCCAAGAGAATATAGTTATTGGACATACAATTCTTATATAAACACAACAACTTTACATAAAATAACATAAATTGTTAAATATTTTTTAAAGATAAATAAAAACAAATGTCAACCATTTTAGGTGTCATCGCGCATGGTTACGGAATTTTACACGGAAATCTATAAATTGACTTTTTACAAGACGCACAAATCGTACGGGCACGACTACGGGAGGAAGGAAGAAAGGCAATCTATAATTCAGGCTTAAAGCCTTTATAAAGACTTTATAAAGGTTACCTCAGTTTTATGACCTTCGATAAAATACCAAATTTTTGCGATAAACCACGAATTTACTAGAATTTTTTTTTTAATGACTATTCCAAAAATTTTATCGGGAAAATTTTACCACTATAGTGGTATTATATACGAAAAAATTCTCATCTCAACAAGCGAGCAAGGGAGAATAGAAAGGGAAAGAAGGAAGAAAACAAAAATAAATGCAAAGAAATGAAGAGTAGAGAAATGTCATCTACGACTTCTTCTGAAAACTCTGAAATAGAAACGCGACCCTTTGTAAATAATATCAAACAAAGTTAGTTGGTAAATTCTCTACTCTTGACTCTATGAAGTGCAATGTAAACCAAATTAAAAGACAGAAAAGGCATTCATATAAAAATAAAATAAAGAAAAATATTTACCGATCTTCTGTTGCTTGAATACATATATTCCAACGAGGCTTCCTAGCTTTAATTCCATTTACTTTTTCCAAGAAGTCGTATCCTTTATCCAATATTGCGGACGGTAAATAATTAATTAAATGTTGAAACGTTTGCCATACCACGAAGTTTCCCAGAATTCTGAAATTTTTAAACATAATTTATTCAAACCTAAATTATTATTAATAATAAATGTATACGCTATCCTGGCTAAGTATTCATATTTAATTTTAGAATACATTGCTAGTTATGATTAAATTAAATAAATGTCATGTTTTAAATTTAATACGAGTTCATACTTTTATGAACTAACATTTTTTTACGAAACAGTATATAATAGACTTTGAATTTGTAGTTTGTTAATTTTATTTTGTAAAATTTTAACTTTTTTTTGTAGAAAACCAGGGTTTGTAAATAGAATATTCTATTTATTTATTACTATTACAAGCAGAATTCACATTGATATTGAAATTAAAGGGAAAACGCTAACGGTTTATTCGAATTTGAAGTCATTGTAAAATTCGTTGGTTCATTGTATTTTTTCTGCAATTTTTATTTGGTCTCCTACCGTCGAGGACTTCCATCCTCCGTGACGCTTCAAAGTAGTCATGTTAGCCCCTGCATTGGCCAAAAACATTGCAATTCTTAAAGGTATCTTCGACAACGTATTTATTCGCACACACTGGCTGGTACACCTTCCATTTTTGTAAAAAACAAAAAAGCGGCTAGAAATAGTATTCTTTGGTCTCAAAGACATGTATTTTTTACACAATTTGATCGGGTTGACTGGAAATCCTTCTTCAAGTATGGTGAAACTTCTCAATTTCTTTAGTGTCTGGTAAAACTACGTGAAAATATTTCCCTTTGTCTTGAATATTTTTTATTTGTAAATTGACCAATTCATCGCATCAACAAGCACCGCTAATCCCCGTTATCAAAGCCACTTTCATAAACAAGTACTCGTCGTCGGGAGCTTCGTTCAAAAACTTCTCTATTTCAGGTCGTTCTTATGTCTTGGACTTCTTTGGTTTGCATCCCTGTGATTTTCTTTTCAAAAAGCTCATTAGTTTGCAATATTTTGAAATGTCGATTTTTTTATAAAGCGAAGCATCGAGTATTTGGTCCATAACGACGATGGGGCTATTTTTTTTTGCAATGTAAAGAATAAGCCAATAGAACATTTTCATCGATACCTTTTATCTTCCGTGAATTCATCCAAGACTCAAACATTTTGAACTTCTTGTCGTAAGCATCTCGGGACTTTTCTGTCAAAATCTGCATCGCTGCTTCTTCCGCTTCCGTAGGAAAAACTGACAAGTGTCAAAATTTATTTAAACATTTGCTAACAATGTATCATGCCCGTGGCAACCAAACAACCTACTTTGACCAAAATGTAAAAAAGTCACAAAGCTTATTAATTATTATCTCATAAAAAAACAATTTCTTCCACTTGTTGGATAAAACACTGTATGCCACTCGTGTGTTTATGTTTCCTAAGTCACTTGAGAATTTATAAATATATATAATTATATAAATTTTTGTAGGTATGTGTTAATGTTTTGGTTTAGGAAATTGATTAATAAATCAACATTTCTTATCAAAATCCTTTTCATTTAAGTTCCCATTTTCCAACAAGTAAACTAAACATAAAGTTATGGATTAAAATAAAATCTGGTTAATATTTGATTAAAATATTTGTTTACTGTTTAAAGTAACGTTAGATCATGTTAAATTATTGTGTATTTAATTGGAAAGGTAGTTTAAGAACTAAATCATTGCATTTTCATGTTTTGCCAAAGGATACAATTCGGTAAGTACATTTGTTGGTGCAGAATTAACTAATGGTAACCTTACCTAATATAATTTACAAATATTTATGTTTAGAAATTTTTAAGATATCTAACAAAAAATAATATTTGTACAATTTTTTTATATTTGAGATCACCGACAACGGCATTTTAAAATAGCAATCAACAATAGATATTTGTTTTACAAGTGTTGAAAAGCGACTTTTTCCGAGTGTGCATTAACACGAGCTCTTCTCACAAGTGAAACACAATGTTTTTTCCAAGACCCTTTTATTTTTTTTGTTTTCAAATACAAAACAAAATAACCTAAAACGTGTTTGAGAGCTGTTAATAGTTATTTACGTGTCAAGCTTTGTAAATGAATCTTTACAGGCGAGCTGGAAGTTTATGGGGTGAGCGACGCAGGAGCGAACCCCATAATCCAGTGAGCCTAGTATAGATTAATTGCAAAGCGTTACACGTACAAACTTTTATTTTCACCTTTAGATAACGATTTTCAAATTTAAAATTTTAATTAATATGTCAAATGTGACATTTCATTTCATAAATTGCTTTTCTACAAGCCTGTAAAACTTTAGAGGTCTTTTATACAAGCCCGTAAAGTATTACAGGTCTGTTCCCATAATGTATCGTTTACTTGGATACAAAAACAACACAATTAACCTATAAAATGTCATTTACTAAGAAGGTGGAAATAAAATTAGTTACTTCTTATTGATTTTAAGTAACTTAAGTTACTTATTGTAGGTTACATTGAACGGTTGTCAAGTTGAGTTGTCAAAATTCGCAATTAATTTGGCTTTGGTGGTGAGTAGATGAGTAAAATAATATAAAAAAGTAGTTAAATATAGGTGACTACGGCCCTAGAGAGACAAAGTATTCCTAGCGGATAATAATCTTCGCTTTAAAAAGAATTTATAAAAAAAAATTAAAATTTTATGGTGACACTTTAATGTTGTCCAATCATTGAACTCCATTGGTAAATGGGTATTTTGTTAAAGCCACTGGACGTTAATACCTGTAGTGGATTAAAAATAATTATAATGTATACACAGTAAAAAAAAATCAACTTTAAGCAACACTAATTAGATTTCACACAGGTCCACACTAAATAGTGTTGTTTTATAACACTACAATTACAGTTAATTTGTAGTGTAATTTTCCCCAAGTAAGCAAGTATGATTTAACACTATAGCAATGAGGATAAAGTAATTTTACACTGTATTAAAAAGTGTTAATTTATAAAGTACACGATTTTAGGTATACCTAAAATTTATAAAGTACACGATTTTAGGTATACCTAAAATCGTGTACTTCTACACTTCCTGGGTAAAATCTCACTTTTGTTCACTGTAAATTAACACTAATTTGGAAAGGTTCTAATTTTAGAAAGGTACTTTTACTCTTTTAGTGCAAACTTCTAGTGTAAATTAACACTATTATTTGAATAAAACCTATTGGTGGTAGTGAATAAAACGAAAAGGTAAATAAAGAGAAACATTTATTTGAAACAAAAATCTCTGACAATTATCAAAATCGGTGCCTTTTAAAATATAATTTTATATTTGAGTCGTTTGGCTGGCTTAAGCAAAATGGTTCCTTAAAACGTAAAAGTTTTAGATCAATGCAATATTTTACTGGATGTCAACTTGTAAGCAATGAATTATCTTGAGAATTCATCAGTAATCCATTTTTATGTTATAAAAAATGGGTGATCCCATTGGTAGAGAGGCGTCAGGCGGCTGTATGTCGGGGATTTACCACACGTGTACAAATTTTCCATAATATTAATAAAAATGTAGGTATAGGTTAATATAACAATGGTTAACCACTAGGCTTGAAAATAAAAAGTAAATCAAGGGTGTATGTATTTATATTATTAATGTTACAAGTACCCGACCTACTGCCGTAAATTATTGATATATAATATAGGTCGGGTATGGACATCCTTTTAACATATTGGTATTTATTGAGTATTAAGGCTTAAAGAAAATGGAAGTATAATACAAAAAATAGGAATGTCCCCTTATGGATTCACCGTAATTAAAATTTAACTGTACAAAAATGCCACACTTCCAAAACGCGGTATCACCGGATATGCACTGCGTAGGTAGACAGGTACCAACCAAACATTTTAAAACGCATTTCGGTTATTACCAGTTTACCACTATTGGTGTAATTTAACTATAATTGTGATACAATGTGCACTAGTAGTGTAAAGAAAAAAGAGCTCTTAGTAACATCAAAACAAACAAAGAAATTGACATGCACTGTAGTGTAAATTTTGTCACTATTTAACACATTAATAGGTAATAAACACTCGCATTAAGTTTTTCTACCCTTTTGATTTATTTTAATAATAAATAGTGTGAATGTACCAATGAATAATGTTCATATTCTTTAAATGTGTTTAATAATGTTAATAAGCACTAAATGCTACCTAGTGTATTTTGTAGTGTAACTTTTACACTTACAAATCAACTCTAATATTTTTTTAAAAATTTACACGGGCAAATTTTTTTACTGTGTATATTGTCCAGAACTATTAATGATCAGTAGCTTGCAAATTGAAAGAAGAAAAAGTTTCGTGATTACTACTTTTTTACTCCAAAAGTACTTTTTCTGCCATTGAAATTGTCAATAAAAAAACTAAAAATGTCAGGTGTCAAAAATCATAAACGTCATTTCGTTACCGAAATGACGATATAAATTTTAAAAATCTAAGTTACCTTTTCGGCGTAATCTTAAGTATCTCCTCCAACTTCCTAAGGTACAGAGGCTGCGAAACGGAAATGACGTCATCGTAGGTAAGCGTCCCGCTGGGTCTTAGGATCGTGTTTATAAACTGAAACCACGGAACGCTTGGAAATTCGTGTTGCAGTTCGCTCGGCGAGTATGGATTGTATACATGAGATGTTCCATTAGCCGCCTGCTTTGCCTCGCTCGAAATCTGATAAAATATTATTAATATTTAAACGGTGTGCAGATGCCTTAACAGAATGCCAACACCTCAATTATTTATCAGGAGTGTGTCAATTTAAAGTTATTTAGAAAATGCAATATTATTATCATTCCATTAAAATGTAGTTGGAAATAAACACTAACCATACTCTCTAAAAGTAAAACAGTGAAATTTTCACTATTTCCGTCAGTGAGTTATTAATTCACTGTAAAATTAGTGTTTTTCAATATAAATTAGTGAAATTTTTACTTCTCCAAATTAGTGATTTTCATTATCACTACTTTTCCGGAACTCTCGACATAAAATACTGAAATTTTAACTTTTTAATTTCCACTAAATAAATTAGTGCAAAGAAATCGCTACATGAAAAAGTGAGTATTCACTAATTGCTAGTGGTATACTTATCACTGCGGCAAATAGTTAATATGCACTGTCAATCAGTGAAAATCCACTGTTTCATTTTTAGAGAGTAGCTAAAGAAGTATCAGGTTTTCGCAACGCGCGCGCCATCTGGTGAATTTATGAATTGTCAACAATACATTTAAAGCATACGAACTGTTCATAATTTTTAAATAAATAGGTAGTTTTTTACACAAAAGCGATGAATTCAGAAGTCTTATTTGACAAATTTGTTCAATTGCACAGGTAAATCGCGCAAGGAAAAAATTAAAAAACTTTTTTAGTACTCGATTTCGATTGATTATTCCTTATATCATTGATTAAGAAACTCAACGCTTAAGTAAATGCTTTTACCGGGTGTATCTGACACATGCAATTTTCCATGGTTAATTAGGATATAAAATGCCACTTATCAGACTACAAAATGGGTTTAGCCGGAAATGATACCAACTTTCGATTTTTAAATGGAATGCCCTATATATTTTTACATATTTGAACCCTGAGGAAGTTCTGAGTCAGACAGCATCCTCAAATAGAACTTTTGACGTTTCATCATCAGAAAATGTATCATCATAAAGATCAATCTGGAGTGCTTTGAACTATCTTATTTTCTTCTAATGGATCCACACAATGCCTGAAAAATGGAACTTGCCTTAGAAAGTTGTTATTCAGCTATTCCCAGCAGTCTAAACTTCTCAAAATTCATTTTTCTCAAATAGTTCAAAGCACTCTAGATTGATCTTTATGTTGATGCATTTTCTGATGACGAAACGTCGAAAGGTTAATTTGAGGATGCTGTTCCATTTAAAAATCTAAAGTTGATATTGGTTCAAAAAATTTTTACTCTTAGAATTTTATATCCTAATTAACCATGCCAAATTTCATGTGTCTATCTTTATAAATAAAAAAGTTAGTGTTTGTATTTTATCTAAGTATTTTCATGTTTTGCCAAAGGATCCAATTCGGTAAGTACATTTGTTGGTGCAGAATTAACTAATAATAATATAATATAATAAACTTTACCTAATATAATTTATATTTAAGTTTGGACATTTTTAAGAAATTAGTAAAAAATAATGTTTGCACAAATATTAGCTTAAAATCAACCATTTTTTATATTTGAGTTTTCTAAAAAACGCAGACAACTGCATTTTAAACAACAAAATATACCTACGAATTCATGGCAACATAATATTATATATAATACATAATTTAATGGTATTTTACCGTTGAGTAGAGGCTTTCTTAATCAACGCTTTTAATAATGCTAAATGCTGTTTAAATTTAGACGACTTATTTGTTTGACGATTTTTACTGAATTGAAATGTTTACACTTTTCACGTTAATCACTACTACTAAAATGTGTATTTATTGTATCTAATAAGTACAATTTATATTTAAGGAGACTGTATACAATTTATTTCTTCATTCAGATTAACACTGTTTATTGGAAAACCGGTAAAAACTCAACCCAGGATTTCCTCTCGAAATACACCCAACAACACAACAAATCGAGCCAAGGTTTTTTTGGATATTTTTTAACATTTTCCGGCTTTATTCTCAAAAACACTCGTTTGTAACATAAGCGTTTGACAGCTGGTTATTAAAAGTTGTACTTTTGTTACGATGATAACAGCCGAGTGGTGGCGCTACTAGCGATACTTCTTTAGCGTATAGTATTGGAAAGTAAATATTTAAGTCAAGAAACTTTAGAGCAGTCGATAACCTTACCTTGGCCAATTGAAGAAAAAAACTGAGAACTTCCAGTTGCTCTTTTTTGGCTCGATTCCGATCGACTCCGAAATAGACCGCGATATCAACCATGTAATCGAGGTACATCGCCTTCACGTCGCTGCTTATTTCTGACGGACTGTAAAACGGATCCTCTATCTGAAAAACCATAAACAAGATTAATTCATTGATGACTGATTTATAGGTTTGCGGAAAGTTAATCTGGCCCCGGCGCTTCTTCAAACCGTAATAACTCACAGTGCGCGACGCTTGACGGTATTTATTAATAAAGTATTCTGTGAAATTTATTTTGGGTTATCTTGGGTGCAGATTTCCTTTCGCAGATATTTGTGCTGTAAATTCAAGAGCAAAAAGAATGTGCTTTCTCTTTAATTTTACATTAAATTTATGTCAAACTAGATTATATTTTCGACGTGCTCAATAAGAATTCGACATCACGTGAGCACGTACGGAACGCAGTCTTTTGAAAATTTGGCATTTAAAGCTTTTCAGGTTATGCATCTGTCAAAGTATAGTCAACGAAAGAAATAATTTTATGTTTAGGCGTTTAAAATGTATAAATCTTTATAACATTAGAATAACAATGGATGGTTTAAGAATTTAAGAATATATATACTGCATTTAATGAAATTCTAAAGTGTATGGTGCCAAAAAAGTAATATTTTTGTGCATTTATTTAAAAAAAATCTTGCTTCTCTATTATGGAATAAGAATATCTGTATTAAAGGTAGGTTAATATATTATAACAAAAATATCATCTAATTTTGTATTTTTAAGGTTAGAAAAATTTATTTTGACCAAAATAAATAAGTATTTTGGATTATTTAAAAGACAGTAAAATATGGTAATGAAAAATGTGGTAGTTTCTCTTATCCAACTTAAAGTGTACCTATATAAAGTTTTGTCAATACAAATAGTTAAAAAGCTTCGACTAAATTTGATCTACATCAAAAAATCATTATAACTTTAAAAATTTTAATAAAGCACATGTCATGGGAGTATTAAATATTTTCACATTGCAAGTTTCTCTAAAAATTGTTTGTTTTCTTAGTAGGTAGTAGGTATGCCGAGAGGTATGCACAAGTTTTGTCATTAGAAGTATAAAAGCTTCAATTTAATTTGAACCATATTCAACAATTATTTAGTATACCTATATTTATTTATGACCATAATAACACACTCTTTCAAATAATCAACTTATTTATTTTGGTCAAAATAGATTTTTCTAACCTTGATTAGAGGCTATATTATAAATTAACATCTTATTTAAAAAATGAAAATGTGGGATACCGACCAAAAAAGTCCAAAATTGTTGAGAAAGATGACATTTCAAGATTCATTAAAGAAGCACCAGATGAAATTTACCGTTTAATAAAAGTTGCCACTATTTTTGGGTTGGCTGGTGCTTGTAGGCGAGAAGAGCTCTCAAAGATAATGATTGATGAAATAGAAGATAAAGAAAATTTGGTAAATAATCGTGAAAATTTGGGACAGTAAAAATACACATCAAGAATCTTTGTGATATCTGATGAAATCAATAATGGTCATTTCTTACAACTGTTTCGAAAATATTCAAATTTGCGAAAACCAAATACCCCACACAAGCGGTTTTTTGCCAATTATAAAAGAAGAGCATGCACTACCCAATGGGTAGGCATTATTACATTTGGTAAAATGCCTGCACAAATAGCTGCATATCTAAAACTTAAAAATCCTGAGGAGTACACAGGTCATAGTTTTCGTAGATCCTCCGCTACCATATTAGCCGATTCTGGAGAAGGAATTTCCAATGTTTAGCGACTTGGAGGCTGGATATCAACGGCTGTCGCCGAGAGATACATATAAGAATCCAAGACCCAAAAAAAAAATTATATAAAATACGTATATTTTGTCTTGTACATCAGTTTAAACTTGACGCTTTCAGTTGAAGGTACTTTACAAGCGATCGCTGCGGAAAATTGTTTATTGTTTAAAAGTGAATAACTTGTGTTTGGTGTGTCCGATTGTTATGCGGTTTGATGAAGGGTGATCTTCAAGGTATATAAAATTCAGATATGCACTGTAAAAAATAATTGTAAATTCACAATAAATTACCATTATTCTTATATTAATATTTCCAATAAAACTGATGTAAATATTTTAATTACATGTACATTTTTGTAAAATAAAGTAAGTTTACAAAAATCATGTAAATTATTGTAATTTCACTAAAAAATACAGTATTTTCTGTATATTTACATAAACTTTTGTGTATTCACACGCATATCTATATTTATACATACAATAATGTAAATTTTTCTAGCATGCTCATGTAAGTAAGACGCAGCATGCTGCCACCACCACTTTAATGTTGTATTGGTGGGATGCACTCTCTTTGTTTCCAGACTTCTACGAGGCAACACGTGATTAGTTTTAGTGCTATTTGTATAATTTTGGTAAGTATACGATAATTTTTATTTAATCAACGATGTTTTTTTCTTGATCTTATTTTTCATGTACTTTTAAAAATATAATAAGCTTTATTAAGGCATTTTGGTGAGCTAACTGGAGTGGCAATAAATGAAAAGTTTAAAGAAAACGTGTAACTGAGAAAAAAGCCAAAACAATGGTAGGTATCGACTTAAAATTTTCAATAGAAATTATTTCTAAATATTTTAAAGAAGATTTCTCTACCATTTCCAATAAGGTACATTTTGTTTATCCGTTTATTTTAATTGATTTAAAATATATATCGAAACTTAATAATAACATTTGATTTGATTTCCAGAGTCAAACTTCAAGGTATTTATGAAAAACGAAGAAATATGTATAGCGTCATCGTTTTATGAGGCATTCTTGATGATGTTCATTTTGTATTATATTTTTAATGTGCAGTACGTTAAGAACATAAGCAATACAATGGAATTTTTGCAAAGGTTCCACTTTAAAATTCACCCTGTTGGAAGCGGCACAAAATCAAATAAAAGTAAAGGAAAAAATAAAGTTTTAACATTCATAAATAAATTGACAAATTTTAAATTAGATTAGGTAATTAATATAATAAAATATATTATTATGTTTTATCTAGTACCTTTTTATTTATTTTTAGATTACCTAGATCTTGTATTTTAATTTTAAGATTTTTATTTATTTTGTTTAAGGTAATTTTTAAAATATAAAAGGCATAATTTTAATTGTATTTTAATATTTCTAAAATAACCTTTATATGTTTATATGTTTTAAAAGGAAAATTTTATTTTTATGTTAAATGAAATGTTAAAGGTAATATTACCTTTAACATATGTAAAAGGTAATTTTAAAAATATAAAATAATAGTATTTTTATATTTCTAAAATAACCTTAAAAGTTAATTATATGTTTTAAAAAGGAAAGTTTTATGTTTATATTTAATGTATTTTTACTATTTTTTTAAATGTAATTTAAGAATATTTTATTAAAATGTATATTTAAAATTTTGTATTTTTTACCTAATTTTAATTAAAATACCATTACAGTAAAACATCAAATTCTGGTAAGTATGCATGTATTAACCTGAATATATTACATTATTATGTAAGTAATATTACATGAAATAATAAGTAAAATAGTTTAATTTTAAAATATATTACATAAACAAGAATGTAAAATAGCATAATATTAAAGTAATTAAAAAAATATTACATAAACCTCTATGTAAAATTAAGTAAAAAACCTTATGATTTTAGGGTAAATTTACGAAATTTTACATAAAGCTGCATGTGAAATATGGGAAATACACAAATAATATAATTTGTAATATCACATATCATATTGGAAATTTACATATGGTTAGTAAAATTACATGATTTAATATAGGTTACCTAATGCCATGGATATTCATGTAATATTTTTTACAGTGTGTATTTGTTTTTCGTAGATTTTGCTTGTACAACGGGATATTGTAACCGACAAGATCGGTCTGTTAAAATCGCAAACTTTGAATCGAGCTTTTAGAATAATTGAGCTACAAAAATTGTTATGAATTGTAAGGCATCAGTTCAAGATTCGTTAAATAGCTTAGAGTTTTGTCTATCAAGTTTTCAATAAATTATCTGCCCCAACTAGCCCCTGGCTCTTTAAAACTACATGTACTTGGGCGCTCAGGAACGGTTGTGGTAAAAAACCTCGCGTATCTGTGTTTTTGCTTTATAAAATATAAGATTTTTTTCTATTTCTGGGTTGCGTTCATGACGTTTACTCGATTCACTAGGATTTAAACCTTTATTACAACAGCGGTGTCTAGACTTTCACTTGCGTAAATCGTTCGTGACTACTAAGATATTTAACACCGATTTTTTCATATTTAACCCACCTCTTGTAGGTGCGTTAAATCAACCCCGCATGCGCATTGTAGTGTGTTAATGTCAAATTTGAAATGTGGTTATTTGTGTTGACATTTTTTTTTAGCGAATTAAGAAATCGTTGCTAAAATATTAAGTAAAAGAAATAATAAAAATTTCAAGTACTTAGTATAAAATCTGTTTTATTTAAATTTTTTAATACATTTTTGAAATTTACGGGTTTTTAATTAATGGAATTATAATTCCAGATTCATTATCAGCGACCACAAAAACCCCTGTATGGTGATTTTCAATTTATTCCGTCTATTTTTTGACAAATATGTCCGCCATTTTGGATCCACCATTTTTAATTTTGGAATTCTGATTTCAGATTTATTACCAGCGACTACATTTTGGATCTACCATATTGAATTTTGGAATTCCAATTCCAGGCTCGTTATCAGCGACCCCAAAAACCGCTATATACGGATTTTTAGGAGAATCCGACTACTCCTTGATATTTTGCCGAAAATTTCAAAAATTGAAACACTGTGTGTTCTACAATTAATTTAGAAAATATTAATATTTGTTCCTTTGTAATAAACATTAATAAAAAATAATTTAATAATCATAGCAGTTTAAGCAACAAGTCGTGTTGAGTTTTAATTAAGGCTGGGTTTAATATTAAAATCTTTAAATAATTAACAAATTCAATTATTTAAAGTATCAACCGAACTCGTTTTATCTGAAGCGAATACCGGCCAATTAAATATAGAAAAACAATTGTTTAGATTAGCAACCTACAAAAGCAAACTTTCTAAAATCTTTCGAGTAAAAAGCTTTTGCTGCAAAATTAAGTTTTATATACGTACTGCAGTTTCATTTCATTAAATCCACCACTGACAATTTGAGTTAATTAATGTAATTTACAAACCTGTTCATTCACTTACTCCCTGGTCACAATTATGTCAAGTATACTTGAAAATGTACTCTTGGCTTTATGCAAGTGTGCAAGTGCATAAATATTTTATAATTTGGACCACTAAAATTCAGTGACTGAATACAACAATTAAAATGTAAATGTAAATAGTGGCCATAATATTTTTGCATGGTGCCATTTTTTTTTTTTAATAAAAAAATTAATTTTTTTTAAGTAAACCTAAAATTCAAGTTATCCATTTCTACTACTACTACTTTTTTTATGGATAACTTGACAGAACAAATTTTTGTAGATATAGTGCATTTTTCTACTTAAAATTTTTCAATAAAATTTAGTAAAGGGTCGTTTTGAGGGGTGGTAAATCCAGTGCCGTGGTTAGATTTTGTTTAAAAAATCGCTAATATAAATTCTTAAAAATTTACTCTTAAAAACTGACATAGTAGGCCTTGTATTTTGTACAAATATGGCGTATTTTGCTTCAAAAATACAGTTTATCAAGATCTACACTTTAAAACAAATCTGGTTAAAATCGCACAATAAATAAAAATTTACAGGGGTGAGACGCGAACAAATGGGTCACACTATTTATGATAGGTTACCCAATAAACAATTTGTACTACTTATGGTAACGATAAATTATATAAGATAAGATATATAAGATTTGTCAAATTATATAAGAGTAACAGGGTTTTATAAAATCGCCATTTAGTTTACTAGTTTTTTAATGGTCATATAAGGATACTGCAAACTTTAGGTATATAATTAGGTTATATAATCGTTTCTACAATAATTTTATATAACTTTTAGTAACCGTTACCAGTAGGTTTATAAAGGAGTTTTATATAGTTTGCGGTTACCTGTTTTATAAAACTATTGTACCTTTAATTTTTTTTTAATTATATATTTATGTGTTTAATAAACCAAAATTTTTATTAATTAAAACAGAAATTAAGCATAATATAAGCTTTTGAGACAATGCTTGGTTGAAAAGAAAATATTTAGCGTAGAATATATGTTCCAGACCGGGCCAGTCACTTTTTCAAACAGTTTATGAAATATCTGTTTTCTAAATTTGAATGCAAGGGAAGTAACGACTATACCAGGGTACTAATTAAATACATAATTTATTGGAAAATATAAGATTTATTGCAACTTTGAGCATATTATATATAAAAATATAAAATCAAATAATACCACACAATTATTAGATATGGGACCCACACCAAATTTATATGAGTTTATAATGATATTAAATAAACAAGTTCTGCGCAAGCAAGTTTGCGAAAAAAAGAAAACATCAAACATGGAACTGACGACACGGTACTGATGAATAGGATACAAATTTGAGATTATAATTCGGAATTAAGTATTTTAATGGAATTTTTTATTAGTGCACTATGGATGCTACTTATCAACAAATCACATATAGCCTTATATAAATTTCAATGAAATATATATACGTAAGAAAATAACTACTCACCACAGTACTGATATTTTGACTGGAAATATACGTGCATTCACCACAACTTCGCCGCTTGCATTGTTTTCAAGATGACTGTCGTGCAAAGGGCGGGCTCTGTAATGTGTTTTTACCAACACTTGAGTTAAAACGAGGACTTGACCTTTAAACTTCAATATTTCGCAGGAATTTTGAATTTTAACATTGGACAAAGAACTGACGGGTAAAAGTAAGTACAAAGATTATCAATTTTTTAAAAATTGCTATTATTCGAATCTATGATAAAATATGGAAAATACAATATTTAATGTTTTATAGTTTGTAGTGAAATTGAAAAATTTAAATTAAATTAAATATATTTTAAAATAAAAACCTGGATCTTTTGTAATATACTGAAATATTTACACTCTAACCTTAAAATTATCATTACCGTGCTCGTCATTGCCGTGTCCCTTACATGTAACCAATTTAAAATATTTCATTTCAGTGGGAAATTAATTAAAATGACAAAACCACGAAACCAGTTGACCAACGAAGCTAAAAGACAAGCAGAACGTAAGAGACGCATAATAATAAGAGATGACCCAGTAAAACCGTGGGTTCAACTTTCTAAAAAAAAACAAAAAAAAGTCATAAGTGGAAAAGTCCTAAAAGTGCAAAATTAATAAGATTTGCAATTTTTTATGTGTTAACGAAAATGGTTTAAAATATTCACCCATATATTAAGTAATATTAAACAGTGTTTGGTGAACAAGAAACACACAATTTCGTAACGAAAAAATTATTAATTATCATGCTGCCCGATCAAACAAATTATCAATCCTTTCATCCTTTCAAAAGTATAATGTAAATAAAGGATTTCCAAACGACAAAATCACTTACGTAAATTATATTCTTTGTGGGATCTTGCTCATCCTGATCGATGCTCATGACGAAAAATACCTCGAAATTAACCCCGATTTCTCTCAGCTTGACCACCGCATTTTTCCAGTCGAACTCCTCCTCCCTCCATTTCTCCCCCTCCAAAGCGGGCCACCCCCCGATCCGCTCGAAAATCCCCTTAATCCCCTTCAAACCCACCACTTCTATAGCCGATTCGTTCATACAGGCCCGATAAAACTTCTTGGCCAAATTGAAGGGCTTCGGGTCGTCCTGTCTAATTGACTCCTCCAGAATCGTTTTAACTTCCGACTGGATCTCCTCTTCCATCAGGTCCCTGACGGATTTGGACCCGCCGCCGTCCAGGCGGGCGTTATGCTGGAAGTTACCGCACGCGAAGCGGTAAAAATCCTCGCAGGGGTCTATATTTTTGTCTATGTTATTCAACAGGTCCATGGCGGTTTCCACGCATGTCGGCGTTGTGCATATTTCTGGTTCCACTGTTGGAATAATAAGAATAAAAAAAACTTGTACTATGCTCCACACCTCAAAGTCCCACCACGTGACCACATACGGAACGCAGTCTTTTAAAAATTTGGCATTTAAGGCTTTTCAGGTTATGTATCTGTCAAAGTATAGTCAATGAAAGAAATAATATTTATGGGTGATTCTCCAGAACGGAGCAAATATGCTGAAACTCTTAAATAAAATATACTAATTAAAGTAGTTAGCATTTAAATAACACTACAATAGACAGTTTATGTCTAGCAGTAGAACGTACTTAACCAAAAAAATAAAACAATATTTATTTTATTAATTTGAATTTGCTTAAACGCTTTAAAGTCAACTCCATGGACTGTCACCACCTAGCGTAGGGACAACAAATCATCCATATACTATTAGACTAGATGCAATTGTGAAATGATTCTTTCATATTGCATTTCCTCTAACTTGGAATGTATAAAAAAACACAACCAAAAGCAAACTTATTGATATTTTAACCCAAAATGTCGAATAAAGCATGAGACACCATTTTACAGCTGAGTTCTTTGCAGTCTTTTAATATATGATAAATCCCCCGTATAAAACGTATTTTAGTAATGTTTGAAGACTTCGTCGTTTGAGTGATTTAGTGTTGATTTGTGTAAGCAAGGCAAAGGGGGTGTAATATTTAATAAAAATTTATAAAGAACAATTATTTGTGAAAAGTATTTTTATCAAAGATCAACTCCATGTCTTTAATAACAAAGGGATTTAAATACAATTGAAATTTAAACTTTCTCCAGATGAAATAACCAAATATGCTTTGCTTAAATAACAGTTAACTAAAGATACATTATGTACCATTTTCTAAACTTTATGACTTTAACTATAAAAACATCAACTTCATGGACATTAACTCCGTGGAGTTGTTTACTTTATGTCCATGGAGTTGTTTACTTTCTTATTATTGCCCTAAACTCTTCGCTCATATAAGTTAAGGCATTATTAACGATAATTAATAATATATAGTTAAATTATAATAAATTTAATTTAATTTTTCTTTATATATATATATATATTTATAGCCGCCTTGAAATTACTTATGTTATTAAAAAATACACATTAAGGTATTATTTAGCCAGTGTTTTATTAATCTTTGCTTTTTATTTTTTTACCACCCCAATTTATCCCCGTTTTGGATATTCACCCTTATAGTGTTTAAGCGTTAAAAAATAATAAATCTTTATACAGTAGAAACCACGAATATATGAACGTGACTCATCCGGCACATTCGTACGAAGCAATCTATCGAAGGTCACGGTCCAGTGCAGTGCTGTTCTAACGGGGGCATAAGTATTTGTAAAAAATCTTAAGTGTAATGTTGGTTGCTATACTTGATATATTTGCTTTTAAAGTTAAATTTTAATAATTAACATCTACGATAATTAAATAAAATGTAATTTTCTTAGAAACTAATTAATAAATAAACTTTTCTTTTAACTTTAATGAAATATTCTATCATCTGATGACAGAATGTACACTCGTGGCGACATCTCTGTTTTTAATATCTAACAAATTTTAGACCGATCCAACCTCACTTTCTTCCAATTAAATTCTTTGTCTATGGTATTTTTTGGAAACGTAGAAAAAGTATAGTCTGAAACTCGTATGGAATTGCATATTCCCCTCTCGTAAAACCGTCAAACTCGCCTTCGGCTCGTGTGACAAACTTTTCACTCGAGCGGAATATGGCGTATTCCAAACTTGTTACAGAATATACTATTTTTTTTAACTGTAAACGCAAATATTTCAGAATTTAAAATGTGTGGATATAAAAACAACTTGCGTTAGTTTCACGAAATTTATTAAATATTGACAATTGTTTCGCTACACAGTAGCTTCTTCAGAATGTATTAAACAAATACTAGTACAAAATTTAAATAATAAAAATATTTTTGTATTCTAGCCTAGAATTTCTAGGTAAGGATTTTTATACGACATCTACCTGTGTTACATAATATAAACCACTGCCACTACAACGTTTAAAGCGATTATTAATCCGTAAACACACACCGTTTATTTAAAGTCCAAAAAACGTACAATAACAATTGCAATAAAGTCTAATAAACATGCAATAACAATTGCAATAAAAACCACTAGCACTACAACGTTTAAAACGATTATTAATCCGTAAACACACAGCAGAAACACGATATGCAAAAACAAAGATCATATGACATAATAAAACAAATGGCCGACGGTAAAGTTGGTTGCCTAATAAAATAAAATAAATTGCCTAAAACACGAACTCTACTGAATTCCAAAAAAAATAAGTAACAAGCTAGGACACGCGTCATATGTCCATCTTTGTCCACCACCTAGGCAGTTTTACATCACAGATGGCGCATTTTAGACCAGATGCTTAAAAACCTACGTGTGAGTACATTTATCGCTGCATCGAATGTACAAGACAAGTAAAACATTACTGCTAGCATTTCTGAGATATGTTCGGCACCCGATGAGTCACGTTCATATATTGGTGGTTTCTACTTTAGTATCACAATAACAATGGTTGGTTTAAGAATTTAGGAATATAAATACTGCATTTAATGAAATTCCAAAGTGTAAGGTGCAATATAAGTGATATTTTTGTGCATTGGGTCTACATTTCTCCATAAAATAGTTTTAACTAAAGAGCATTTATTAAAAAAAATCTAACTTCTCTATTATGAAATAAGAATATCTGTATCAAAGGTAGGTTAATGTATTAGAACAAAAAATATCATCTAATTTTGTATTTTAAGGTTAAAAAAATCTATTTTGACCAGAATAATAAAGTGGATTATTTGGAAGAGTGTGTTAATATGGTCATAAATAAATATAGGTATACTAAATAATTGTTGATTATGGTTTAAATTAAATTGAAGCTTTTATACTTCTAATGACAAAACTCTCGGCATACCTACTTTAAGCTAGATTATAAGAAAACAAACAACTTTTAGAGAAACTTGCAATGTGAAAATATTTAATACTCCCATGACATGTGATTTATTAAAATTTTTAAAGTTATAATGATTTTTCGATGTAGATCAAGTTCAGTCGAAGCTTTTTAACTATTTGTATTGACAAAACTTTATGTAGGTACGCTTTAAGCTAGATAGGAAAAACTACCACATTTTTAAATATCATATTATACAGTCTTTTAAATAATCCAAAATACTTATTTATTTTGGTCAAAATAAATTTTTCTAACCTTAAAATTACAAAATTAGATGATAATTTTGTTATAATTTATTAACCTAGGTAGGTAGCTACCTTTAAAACAGATATTCTTATTCCATAATAGATAAGCTAGATTTTTTTTAATAAATGCTGTTTAGTTAACATTATTTTATGAAGAAAACTAGATATTTGGACCAAATGCACAAAAATATTACTTATTTGGCACAATACACTTTAGAATTTCATTAAATGCAGTATTTATATTCTTATATTCTTAAACCATCCATTGTTATTGTAATGTTATAAAGATTGATGCATTTTTAACGCCTAAACATAATATTATTTCTTTCGTTGACTATACTTTGACAGATACATAACCTGAAAAGCCCTAAATGCCAAATTTTCAAAAGACTGCGTTCCGTACGTGGTCACGTGGTGGGACTTTGAGGTGTGGAGCATAGTACCTTAATATATTAAAACTTACCGGTAAATAAAAAGTAGAAGGCCGCAGCCAAAATGACAACTGTCAAAAAACCTAATAAAAAGTAAAAGCATCCTTTTTGCTTCTTACTTCTATCCTCCCACCATTCTGACATATACCATGGCGAATTTGAATTATGCAAGTGATCAAGGTGGCTGGAATGTTAAAACAATCACTAGGGTGGAAAAATACGAGGTGTGTTCAGAAAATAACGGGAATTGTTAAATTTCGCGGGTTTGGAGGGTCCGGTTGTCATAAAATTTTCTTTATTATGTTGGTATACATGCCCCCGAAGTATGATAAAAACTTTAGCTGTTTTCATTGTTTACTTTGTCTGTGCCAGCCGCTAAGGTTAGACGTGTTTTATGAGCTCGGCGATTTTTCGTTCGTTAAAAGAAATGGATCAATGTATCCAATTTTGCTTAAAAAATAAAATAAATACTGTGAAATGTTAACAAAGGCCTATAGTGAGTCTCAATGAGTCTCAATGTGTTAAAACTGTTTATATGTCCTACGTACGTAGAATTTTAGAATATTGTTTTGTAATTTGGTATTCTTTCTATGTTAATTCTTCCATAAAAATTGAAAAAGTCCAAAACAAATTTTTGCGATTTTGTGGATTTAAATTAAGTATTGAGTGTAAATATAGTTTAGAATTAGTAAGAAATGCAATTCAACTGAATTTACTAAGTCGTAGGAGAACAGAAATAGGTGTTGTTTTTTTATTTAAATTGCTTAATAACTATATAAACTGCCCCGACTTGTTAGCGCAAATTAATTTTAATACCCTGATAAGACGAACGCGTAACACAATATTTATTATTTCACACAAAAAAGTACAGAACAGAATATGCTAAATTCATGCCTATAAGCATATGATGCAAACAACCTTGATTTGGACTTTTTTAATTGCTCATTGGACGTATTCAAGAAAGAATGTAATTATAAAATTAATTGTTATCCATCCTAATTGTAGACATTTGAATGTATTTTTTTGTAAGTGGTTTAATACCGTCAATAAAGTTATTATTAAGTTATTATTATTATTATTATTATTAAAATCGCCTCCACTGAACTAATTGAATAAAAGTTATAGGATGAAGATTCACACCTCAAATTTATGGTGTAAAATTTCTTAATGATATCTTTATTAATTTTTTTTTAATGTTTTTTGCCACTTTTTTGCCATTCTAGTCCACTGTGGGCGATCGCGTAAATATTATTGACAAGTTTATGTCAACAGCATGTACCATTTATGTTATGTACATTTTACGCCACTCTGTGTAGTTAAAACTAAATTTAAAAAATCTTTAAGGTGATCTGAAGAGGAATGACAAAACTCACCCATTTTTCATCCTAAAACACAGCACAGCACTGCACTGAGAACACGGGAAGATATATGATGTAATTTGAAAGTGCCCGCTCTAAAACCAGGCAACGAGAGTTAGATACTTAAGACGGAACGAACGGTTAATTAAGGTGACACACACGAAAAATAAAAACGGAGGAGAGCACAGACTAAACGGCAATTAGACAAGCAGGAAAAATTAAGTGACTAATTTTCTCGATCGCAAGCCGCTCGACCCGCAGAAGCGTACAAAAGTGGGCGGACTGGGGTCAGGTCACTAATAATCTATTACACCAAATAAGAAATTAAAAGTGTAGTAAAATTGTAAATTATTACATAATTTACTTCTTCTTTATAATTATAGGGTAAACCTCATAGATATTGGACACATCATTTTTAATATAGTAATTTGAAAATAGTTTTTTTGTTCTAATTTTATTTTTGAAATATGCAAATACGACCTTTTGTTTAAAATAAACCCTGCAAAGTGAAAGATCAAACAGTTTAACTGTTTATTGAGCAGATTTGCGATGTTTTTGTTAAAACTATATCCAGAGGAATGACGAGGCAAGTAGAAGAATTATTATTTTATTCAAAAAGGCAAAGGAATACAATATAGCATAAAAACTAAATAAGTAATTAAAAATAAACTTAAATATAAACTTGTTTAAAACAAAACGGTATCATAAAAGTTAAATAGTTACCTGAAAACAAAAATATAAACCTTCTTTATTTCGCAAACAATTGAAAATGGGTCATGAAATAAAGCAGGTTTATATTTTTCAAGTAAGTATTTTATTTTTATGTTACTTTATTGTATGTTCTATTACTTATACTAACTTTAATTTTATTAAAATTCGTCAATTAAGTTTTTTAATTTATTATACAGTTTGATTATTTCGGGACGTGGTAATATTGTTATTATGTCTTGGTAATTAACGTACGAAACATCCTTTTTATCTGAGATTTTTACCCCAAAATGAGTATCACTGGGATATCTTTTTTGCTTTATTAGTCTATTTTTTGATGCTATTTAAATTGAATTTCAAAATTTTTTAAATTGCTGTTGGGTAAGTTTAGCCGGCCACCTTTTACAATTTTCCTAATTTGTAAGACGATAATTTGTAACAATATCTTAATATCCCAGAGGAATGGTGCAAGAGGAATGACGATTTCTTAGTTTATTTCACGTGGGGAAGAAAATACAACAAACCCTAACCAACAAATTGGTTTACAGAAAAGTAAACCCATAATCTCGTATTCAAATCAAATAATGGATGCAACAAAAATATAAATAAACAAAATACATTTACCAGAGAAATGATCTGTCTGTGTGTGACATTAACAATTTTAAAACAAAACTAAAAAAAAAACACGTGTTGTTTTGTCAGAAAATATTTGCTTGCTGGCTCAGTGCAAGAACTAGGTTAGGAAAAGAATCTCTTATCCGCCATTTAAGATCATATATTTAGGTATCATAGACAAACCAGAGGAATGAGCTCTAAAGGTGGTAACAGGTTTTATATATTTTTTAACAAGGTGGTTTAAAAGTAATATATATTTTTAGCTTAGTTTTACTGATATTTCAGGGTTCTGAAATCAAAAATAAAAAGTTACAATTAAAGAACATGAATAGTTTTTTTATATTCTGCCTATGACGTCCAACATATTCAGTTATAACATGCCAGAGTAATAATATTTTAACAAGATTTTTGTCTACAACTTAATAATATTAAGTATATTTTCAAATATTCCTTAGGAAACCAATATAGTTAATCTATATCTTTCTTTAAAAAAAATACAATTGTAGAAAATAATTTGTTTAGTCAAAATTTTGACCAGTAACAGCAAAAATGATAGTTTCTATAGAATTACCCATATGCCGTTGTTTTAAAGATTTGAGTTTTTTTCTTATGAATATATAAAAAGAATAGTTTCTTTGTTTAAACTTTATTTACGTTTACTTAAAAATAAGAATATTTGAATATTGAATAATACTTTTATAAAAACATGCAAAAAAGTATAGTAATTGGACATACAATTTTTATATAAACATAACAACTTTACATCAAAAAATATAAATTGTTAAATATTTTTTTTGAAGATATGTTTTAGGTAATTTTTTTTTTATTTAGTTTTTGTAAATATCATATAATTCGTATATTTCTTTCTCAAATTCCTCATCCCTTTTCTGGATTCTGAAGGTAACTACTAATTCCTTGGTCTGACTTCTGAAATAGTTTGTTGCAAATATCATTAAGTGTGGTATCATTATAATATATATAGTTTGTGAAGCATTTATAATGTTTAGGCCGGAACAGGATGATTTATATACCTATATCTAATATTTTTTCGGGTGGTATGTTAAAAGTATTTTCCGAATTTATTAATTTTGTTGCCATTAGTTTTTTATGTTCTCTATCATGCACTGTATTTAAATCACTGTTATTCTGCAAGATGTCCTGTGACGAAGAAATCACTATATTACTTACTTTCTAAAAATGAATTAGTCAAAATGTCATAGCGAAAAATCAGCCACTAATAATTCTCGTCAACAGCAATTTGGATCCAGGAAATTTAGCAGTCAATTCCTAGGAAATATTCGCTGAATCCGAATTGACCATTAAAATTAAAACGCATTAAAGTGACAATGTTTAAACCATGAGGAACCCATTTATACCAAACACTGATGTGTACACTTTTTAGAAATATTTTTTGTTGTAATTTAAACGCAGCCCTGCTCTTAACAAAAAACAAAAATCTTATCACCAAAGTAACGTGCGAACTTTTTTGTTAATATTGGACCCAAAATAAAGTAGTTCTATATTATTACCGTCTGAGATATCTATAATTTTATACAGCGTCATCTAATGATTTGAATTTAAGGTAACTATTTATAGAACTCTTGTTTTTACAGTATTAATGCTAATTGTCCAATAACTATAGTGTCCGATAACTGTCTACTTTACCCTACCTAACAGAAAATTCGGTATACCAAAAATTGTCTTTACTTACCGTTTTTTAACCGAATCGAAAATATTTAATGTTAGGTTGAGTTTCTGTTCATATTTCTGCTGTCTGCTACAGCACAGCCCGACATATTTTAAATATTTATTAAATCCAACAAATATAACACAAACTTAATAAATAACCTGCTATGAAACACCCGTGCGTGGCTTATAAATACCTTCGTTCAATAAATGCAGTAAAAGTTTTACGCAAAACGTTGCAAAACCATCTTGCGTGGCTTATACTTCAAAAACACAATAATTTCATTCGAGTTTTCATTTTGTGTATCGTGAATATTCCCGCGTTGACCTTTGTCGTTAACGGATTAAAGGATATATCAGCTTCAGATATATATATATATAAATATATATATAAATAAATATATATATATATATATATATATATATTACATATATATATGGCCGTCATCATTAGAGCTACACACAATCGTGCAGCTGAGCAGCTTCCATTATTAAGTGGAAGATAGTTACATCAATTGTCAATTTGGGCGTTGTAAACTCGATACTCGTTACAAGCGGACCGCAGTTCCAGTCGGCATCACACCAAACACTTTGCTGCTGCCATTTGTGAAATAGCGTGTTAACAAATCGTTGTACCACGTTTGTAGTGCAATAAAATAATTGTTTATTTATGCTAATTTAAATGTACAATTGTTGAGTGTCATCATTTTAATACCAATTTGCTAATTAAATGATGTTTAAATACATAAAATCAGTGTCGAAATTATCGTAAGAGAATTCATTAATGAATTAAGGCTTAATACCTACGAGTATCATGTTTCTATTTTATTTTTAAACCATTTTAATTTGTGTTTTTGTTCATCAACGATTTCAGAACAGCAATAGCAACTTAATGTTTATTTTGATTGGATGGCAAGGAAAACTACAAATAAAAACACGTTTTCTAAATGTAAAATGTTTTTTTAAATATTAACCTATCCTTAAATTAAAAAGATTTAATTTATAAAACAAGATGATTGACCTAATATTGTCAAGGCTAAAACTAACATTAAACTAAATATTAATCTTTCTTTAAGCAGATCTTATTCTTGCCTGTTAAATGTTAAGAAAGAAATGAAATAATCTTATTCTTAATTTAAGATTAACAATCGATTAGACTAAATTTTGGAAAATTACCTCTATTCTGTTCTTAATGATATACAACTATACTGAATATAAATATAATTATATTTATTCTAAGAAAAGTAAATATTGGTACGACTGGCCTATTCTTAAAAATATCCCCCACTCACCCAAAGTGACCGACATTTTGGAGGATTGTTTCTTGTGTTAGTTAATATTTGGTTTGGAATTATGATCAGCGCTGGTTTGACGGCATTCTCCAATAAGTAAGTAGTTCCATTTAAATTTCCCGGTAAGAAAAATGGTCCAATTATGTGATCACCAAAAATACCAGCCCAAACGTTTAATTTCTGAGGATGTTGAGTATAAACCACATGGAAGATCCTTGGTTTCGTGTTTGACCAATAACGACAATTATGACAATTGATGCCTTTGAGAAAAAATGAACATTCGTCTGAGACATAGACAAGGGATTGGTTGGGTGGGTAAATATTACAATGTTAATTGAAATAGACAATCGACATAAAATTTTGTTTGGTGATATAAGGAAGCTCATAAAACTATGATCGTTTGATTTACTTACAGTACGCCCACCTACATTACCTAATTTTGGTCTGCTGATTTCAGGATGTCCAGGATTCGAAATAATTTCGTAATGAAATGCTCTCAAAAATAAAGGTTTTTTGTTACTATTTATTAAATTATTTTGCTTTAAATCTATTTTGGATGTTCAATATATTTTTGACGTTTTTTGTCAAAAATATACAGGGACTCCATACAAAGTCATCGGTAGATAATGTCAAACAGAAATTTTTTTTGTTCCATTGTAGCCGTATACTATAGTAGCATTTTATATATTAAATAAAGCACTTTTCTGCAGAGAAGGGCTTTATTAAATACCAAAACTAAAATTATAATGATTTTTTGGTAAAAAGTATAATTTTTTGAAATTTTTGTATCGTTCTAATTTTAATTTAAAAATTGAAAAGGCAATAAAGTAAATGGGTTTTGTATAAGCATTACTCTTCGACTATTATTTGATATGTTTCATTCACATCATGCTTAAAGTACCCAAAAATTTAATCTCGAA